GGGCTAGAGGGCTAGAGGGCTAGAGGGCTAGAGGGCTAGAGGGCTAGAGGGCTAGAGGGCTAGAGGGCTAGAGGGCTAGAGGGCTAGAGGGCTAGAGGGCTAGAGGGCTAGAGGGCTAGAGGGCTAGAGGGCTAGAGGGCTAGAGGGCTAGAGGGCTAGAGGGCTAGAGGTAGCTAGAGGCTAGAGGGCTAGAGGGCTAGAGGGCTAGAGGGCTAGAGGGCTAGAGGGCTAGAGGGCTAGAGGCTAGAGGCTAGAGGGCTAGAGGGCTAGAGGGCTAGAGGGCTAGAGGGCTAGAGGCTAGAGGCTAGAGGGCTAGAGGGCTAGAGGGCTAGAGGGCTAGAGGCTAGAGAGGGCTAGAGGGCTAGAGGCTAGAGGGCTAGAGGGCTAGAGGGCTAGAGGGCTAGAGGGCTAGAGGGCTAGAGGGCTAGAGGGCTAGAGGGCTAGAGGGCTAGAGGCTAGAGGGCTAGGGCTAGAGGGCTAGAGGGCTAGAGCTAGAGGGCTAGAGGGCTAGAGGGCTAGAGGGCTAGAGGCTAGAGGCTAGAGGGCTAGAGGGCTAGAGGGCTAGAGGGCTAGAGGGCTAAGAGGCTAGAGGGCTAGAGGGCTAGAGGGCTAGAGGGCTAGAGGGCTAGAGGGCTAGAGGGCTAGAGGCTAGAGGGCTAGAGGGCTAGAGGGCTAGAGGCTAGAGGGCTAGAGGGCTAGAGGCTAGAGGGCTTAGAGGGCTAGAGGGCTAGAGGGCTAGAGGGCTAGAGGGCTAGAGGGCTAGAGGGCTAGCTTAGGCTAGAGGGCTAGAGGGCTAGAGGGCTAGAGGGCTAGAGGTAGAGGCTAGAGGGCTTAGAGGCTAGAGGGCTAGAGGGCTAGAGGGCTAGAGGGCTAGAGGGCTAGAGGGCTAGAGGCTAGAGGGCTAGAGGGCTAGAGGGCGAGGGCTAGAGGGCTAGAGGCTAGAGGCTAGAGGGCTAGAGGGCTAGAGGGCTAGAGGGCTAGAGGGGCTTCCTAGAGGGCTAGAGGGCTAGAGGGCTAGAGGGCTAGAGGGCTAGAGGGCTAGAGGGCTAGAGGGTAGAGCTAGGGCTAGAGGGCTAGAGGCTAGAGGGCTAGAGGGCTAGAGGGCTAGAGGGCTAGAGGGCTAGAGGGCTAGAGGGCTAGAGGCTAGAGGCTAGAGGGCTAGAGAGGGCTAGAGGGCTAGAGGGCTAGGCTAGAGGGCTAGAGGGCTAGAGGGCTAGAGGGCTAGAGGGCTAGAGGGCTAGAGGAGAGGCTAGAGGCTAGAGGGCTAGAGGGCTAGAGGGCTAGAGGGCTAGAGCGGCTAGAGGCTAGAGGGCTAGAGGGCTAGAGGGCTAGAGGCTAGCTAGAGGGCTAGAGGCTAGAGGGGGCTAGAGGGAGAGGGAGAGGGCTAGAGGGCTAGAGGGCTAGAGGGTAGAGGGCTAGAGGGCTAGAGGGCTAGAGAGAGCTAGAGGGCTAGGGCTAGAGAGGCTAGAGGGCTAGAGGGGCTAGAGGGGAGGGCTAGAGGGCTAGAGGGCTAGAGGGCTAGAGGGCTAGAGGGCTAGAGGGCTAGAGGGCTAGAGGGCTAGAGGGCTAGAGGGCTAGAGGGCTAGAGGGCTAGAGGCTAGAGGGCTAGAGGGCTAGAGGCTAGAGGGAGCTAGGGCTAGAGGGCTAGAGGGCTAGAGGGCTAGGGGGAGGCTAGAGGGCTAGAGGGCTGCTCATCATACTCTGTCTCCGATCTATCGATCTATCGGCTAGAGGGCTGCTCATCTATCTGTCTCGTATCTATCGATCTATCGGGCTAGAGGGCTGCTCATCTATCTGTCTCCTATCTATCGATCTATCGGGCTAGAGGGCTGCTCATCTATCTGTCTCCTATCTATCGATCTATCGGGCTAGAGGGCTGCTCATCTATCTGTCTCCTATCTATCGATCTATCGGGCTAGAGGGCTGCTCATCTATCTGTCTCCTATCTATCGATCTATCGGGCTAGAGGGCTGCTCATCTATCTATCTGTCTCCGATCTATCGATCTATCGGGCTAGAGGGCTGCTCATCTATCTATCTGTCTCCGATCTATCGATCTATCGGGCTAGAGGGCTGCTCATCTATCTATCTGTCTCCGATCTATCGATCTATCGGGCTAGAGGGCTGCTCATCTATCTATCTGTCTCCGATCTATCGATCTATCGGGCTAGAGGGCTGCTCATCTATCTATCTGTCTCCGATCTATCGATCTATCGGCTAGAGGGCTGCTCATCTATCTATCTGTCTCCGATCTATCGATCTATCGGGCTAGAGGGCTGCTCATCTATCTATCTGTCTCCGATCTATCGATCTATCGGGCTAGAGGGCTGCTCATCTATCTATCTGTCTCCGATCTATCGATCTATCGGGCTAGAGGGCTGCTCATCTATCTATCTGTCTCCGATCTATCGATCTATCGGGCTAGAGGGCTGCTCATCTATCTATCTGTCTCCGATCTATCGATCTATCGGGCTAGAGGGCTGCTCATCTATCTATCTGTCTCCGATCTATCGATCTATCGGGCTAGAGGGCTGCTCATCTATCTATCTGTCTCCTATCTATCGATCTATCGGGCTAGAGGGCTGCTCATCTATCTGTCTCCTATCTATCGATCTATCGGGCTAGAGGGCTGCTCATCTATCTATCTGTCTCCGATCTATCGATCTATCGGGCTAGAGGGCTGCTCATCTATCTATCTGTCTCCGATCTATCGATCTATCGGGCTAGAGGGCTGCTCATCTATCTATCTGTCTCCGATCTATCGATCTATCGGGCTAGAGGGCTGCTCATCTATCTATCTGTCTCCGATCTATCGATCTATCGGCTAGAGGGCTGCTCATCTATCTATCTGTCTCCGATCTATCGATCTATCGGGCTAGAGGGCTGCTCATCTATCTATCTGTCTCCGATCTATCGATCTATCGGCTAGAGGGCTGCTCATCTATCTATCTGTCTCCGATCTATCGATCTATCGGGCTAGAGGGCTGCTCATCTATCTATCTGTCTCCGATCTATCGATCTATCGGGCTAGAGGGCTGCTCATCTATCTATCTGTCTCCGATCTATCGATCTATCGGGCTAGAGGGCTGCTCATCTATCTATCTGTCTCCGATCTATCGATCTATCGGGCTAGAGGGCTGCTCATCTATCTATCTGTCTCCGATCTATCGATCTATCGGGCTAGAGGGCTGCTCATCTATCTATCTGTCTCCGATCTATCGATCTATCGGGCTAGAGGGCTGCTCATCTATCTGTCTCCTATCTATCGATCTATCGGGCTAGAGGGCTGCTCATCTATCTGTCTCCTATCTATCGATCTATCGATCTATCGATCTATCGGGCTAGAGGGCTGCTCATCTATCTGTCTCCTATCTATCTATCTATCGATCTATCGATCTATCGATCTATCGGGCTAGAGGGCTGCTCATCTATCTGTCTCCTATCTATCTATCTATCTATCGATCTATCGATCTATCGATCTATCGGGCTAGAGGGCTGCTCATCTATCTGTCTCCTATCTATCTATCTATCGATCTATCGATCTATCGGGCTAGAGGGCTAGAGGGCTGCTCATCTATCTGTCTCCTATCTATCGATCTATCGATCTATCGGGCTAGAGGGCTAGAGGGCTGCTCATCTATCTGTCTCCTATCTATCTATCTATCGATCTATCGATCTATGGGCTAGAGGGCTGCTCATCTATCTGTCTCCTATCTATCTATCTATCGATCTATCGATCTATCGGGCTAGAGGGCTGCTCATCTATCTGTCTCCTATCTATCGATCTATCGGGCTAGAGGGCTGCTCATCTATCTGTCTCCTATCTATCGATCTATCGGGCTAGAGGGCTGCTCATCTATCTGTCTCCTATCTATCTATCTATCGATCTATCGATCTATCTATCTATCGGGCTAGAGGGCTGCTCATCTATCTGTCTCCTATCTATCTATCTATCTATCTATCGATCTATCTATCTATCGGGCTAGAGGGCTGCTCATCTATCTGTCTCCTATCTATCTATCTATCTATCTATCGATCTATCTATCTATCTATCTATCTATCTATCTATCTATCTATCGGGCTAGAGGGCTGCTCATCTATCTGTCTCTATCTATCTATCTATCTATCTATCTATCTATCTATCGGGCTAGAGGGCTGCTCATCTATCTGTCTCCTATCTATCTATCTATCTATCTATCTATCTATCTATCTATCGGGCTAGAGGGCTGCTCATCTATCTGTCTCCTATCTATCTATCTATCTATCTATCTATCTATCTATCTATCGGCTAGAGGGCTGCTCATCTATCTGTCTCCTATCTATCTATCTATCTATCTATCTATCTATCTATCGGGCTAGAGGGCTGCTCATCTATCTGTCTCCTATCTATCTATCTATCTATCTATCTATCTATCTATCTATCGGGCCAGAGGGCTGCTCATCTATCTGTCTCCTATCTATCTATCTATCTATCTATCTATCTATCTATCTATCTATCTATCTATCTATCTATGGGCTAGAGGGCTGCTCATCTATCTATCTGTCTCCTATCTATGTATCTATCTATCTCTCTATCTCTCTATCTCCTAGAGGGCTCCCACCGTTGAGTCAAAACAGCAATACATGTATCTCCCAGCAGGCGGCAGGCTTTCTGCTTTAGCCCCTGTCTCCTTTGGTCTGAACCAGTTATGATCCCCGACCAGCTCTCCTTGAACAAGTCCTATAGTGTATCCTAACACATTCAGCCGCATCTGTCTCTCTGCCTGTCAGTCTATAAAGTTTGATTACATATCACAAGAGGCTGATGCAGAAGTGGGTAAGAGAATCTATAAATTAAGCACAAGAGAGATTTGCAAAAATGTATAATAATGACATCCTCATACATTTGTTTCAGAAAATATATAGTTTATAAAATATGTAACTTTACATGTGCATAACTTTTGCAAAATACTTTATAAATGTTAATATGATTTTACAAAATGAAAAGTAAATTTTCTCAGCTATAACTTCTAATATAGCAAAGCAAATATCAAATATCTCATGTAAAACAAAAGCAATTTGTCTTTTAAGAGTGAAAAGGGGTCCTGAACCCAAAAGCTTTAGAAGTGCTGTTGTAGCTTAATTAGCCTCTGTTTTAGCCATCTGTTATTTATCTTTCCTTCCTCAGAAGCAGGAAGCGCCATCTCAAACAATGTTGATTTCAGCATTATCTACAGTGGCAAAGAAATAAGAGACAAACCATCTAATCTCAGGGGAAAGTTCTAATCATAATAAATAAGCTCTGCTAACCCAATAGGATGATCTTCATGGTAGTATGTAAGAATGAAATTATATAATAGAATGGTACATGAAAAGACATGAATTGTCTAGAATGTGAGATTGCACCTTTGTTGTTTTTGGATGTTGAGATTATGGGCCATGGTTTTCTTTAAATTGGTGCCTACTGTTATCTTCCCTCATACTTTTTTTTTTTTTTTTTTTTTTGTGGGACCCTCGCGGGCAGCAGGTAACGAACGGGCGCTGCAGAGGCTGTGGGCAGCCTCGCAGCCCAGCACTCAACCGCTGCGCCACCAGGGGAGGCCCTTGCCTCATAATTTTCAAAGCAGCATTTAAGGCCTGGCTCCCACAGCCTCCCACAGCCTCCCACGTGGCAAAGAGGCCACTGTCCTTCTCCACAGAGTAAGTCAAAACCTTCCTGATTTTGAAAAGCTGACTCCCCTCAGCAGACCCAATAACAGTCTTTGTCCACAAGGGTCCTGGGAAGCACCCGTGACAGGTGTCAAAGCTGCAGGAAAACCCAGAGGCCTCGAGCACTGGGCCACCAGGAGGGAAGGCAGGAGACTAGAGTGGTCAGAGTCTGCCAGCAGCAAGGGGGCTTTGTGAAGGGGACAAGACCACCTCTCCTCTTCCCAGGGGGTTCTCAGCACATCCTCCTCTTTGGCACTGCAACCCTCCTCACAAATATATACAGTGTGCGTTCATGTTTTGCTTCATAGGCCCATTAATAAACTCTTAAGCTAACTGGGCCTGAGGTCGTGAAGAACATCGCCAGGAGGAGTTGAGCTTTAAGCCCTCCTTATCCTCCCCTGCAAACCAGCTCCAGTTCGCACCTTTCCTAGCTGGGTCCAGCATGTCCTCCCCATAGTGCAGATGGGCTGATGCCTCCATTTCAGACTCCCAGGAGGGTGGCCCATTGTAAAAGAAACGCATCAGGTAATTGGGAGGTGATCTTATTCCAGCTATTGCAGCAGGGAACACGAGGGATCAAAAGGGACTCCTACCAGCCCCACCCCCAGGGAGTACAGCATGGTCCTACCTTCCAAAATGCAGCTGTTGCCAACACCTTGTCCCAAAGACCAGATAAGATCTGGTGGGTGCAGCAGACCTGGGAAGAATACACATATTCTTAGCCCTGTGGTTTCAACAAAGTCAAACCGACTCCATCTCCATTCTGGAAGTTTCCCTGGGGGCCCAGAAAGGAGACGGGAGGGGGGATTCAGGAGTCAGGAGGAGGGACGGAGGAATGTAAGCATCACTAAGAGGGACCCTCCTCTGATGGGGCACAGGGGCACTGGGGAAGGAAACTCTGTGGGACTACACCTGAGGGGGTGGGGGGAAGAAATATTGTTTAAAAATGAACAATGATGTGAAAAATAAAAAAAAAAGAGGGACCCCTTCCGAGCCATAAAGAAGAAACCCCAGAAGCCGTAGAACGGGGCAGATCTTGGGCCTTCGGAGCCCGCCGGCCGCCTGTCCTGTCCCTTCGCTCTCTGCAAACTGTCCCTGGCTTTGTTCTGAGCTTCATGAAATTCTTTTCTCGTAGGATGCCAAGGACCCTCAATTCTTGCTGTCGCCCATCCATCAGGAGGACATTCGTTATTGCAGAGGGACATTGCAGGGAACAGGAAGAGGCCTGGGGTTCATGGAGCTGGAGGGGGTTAAGTCTCTGAAGGTGGTTGTTGGGGGACAGGAAATGGGAAGGAATCCTGCTGCAGTCCCTCTGGGAACACGGCAGGGCTCAGACACAAGTCAACACGGTCCACAGGTTACCAGACATCTGGCCTCTCCCGTAACTTGAAAGGGAAGGAAATAAGAAGTGAGAGTGAGGTCCCAGGTGCCTCTGGGGCAGGCGAGGGGGAAACCCTGGCCCACAAGAAAAGGATGGGGATGTGGCCACTTCTCGGTGCTCTTAGCAACTGGAACTTTACTCCTCAAGCTTCTTCTCCCATCCCACGCCCCTCTCCCTTTTTCTCCGTTGGCAGGTAGATGAGATGCTGTTAAAAAACAAAATTCCTTTTATGTCCCCAAACACACACACCTGGAGAAAACTGGCCACTCCTGGAAGATCCCAGACAAACACTTGGGCGTTCTTATGGCTATATTTGAAGACACAGATGATGTTTAGCTGGTTGGATTAACCCCAGTCAGGAGGGAGGCGATCATTTCCCTTGGCAGGAACAACAGTCTTTTTCCTAAGGTCTCTTTGTTAGAGACAAGCCCTCCCAGCGCCCCCCATTTAGGCCAGTCCAGCCAGATGTGGGAATTTTTTCCATCACATAACACAGGGTTTAAGGGTGGAAGAAAAGATAAGCTGTTTCCCCCATCACTGACTCTTTCCACCCCTGCAGGGACTGTTTGGGAGGATCTGAGCTGTTGGCTGGAAATAAAACAATCGGGTGGGGGATGCTTTGGAAATGGGGAGGAGCCGGAGGAGTGAGATGTTCCATCTGGAATCACCATGCTGGTGGCAAGGCCAGATGGAGCCCTGGTCTGTCTGTGGAGACAAAGCTCCCCTTTAAACGGGTCTTGCGAACAAGGGGAAGAGGTTTTTGAAACCGCGATGGCCAAGCGATGGGGCCCCTGACATGGCCTATGAAGCGCCAGCGGCCCATCTCCCCAACTAGAGTGAATTGAGCCCTGAGTGTAATTCAGCAAGGAGCGTCCTTGAGCTCATGAAAACAAGGATTGCAAAGCCTTGAGTTCAAAGGTGGGGGGATGTTAGGAAAACAACCTCCAGTCAGCCCGCCTCCATCCTCTGAGCTGAAGTCCCCTTTCAGCTGGGAGGGAACCTGCTTCCTTAACTCACCAGAACAATGCTGGGATTCAAGTTACTGTAAAGAATTTAATAAACGTTGAGTGTCCCTGTCCACACTATTAATGAACATCCTTTAAGCTGTACTTAAGCCAAATTCCAAGGTGTAATTAGGGATACTGAACTAGGATATGAGATAGATTGCAAGTTCGCTTGAAGCTCACAACATCCAATTATCTGCAGCAGCAGATTTCCCAGCGCACAGGAGAGATGAAAACCATCTGTCACCGCCTGCTTCCTAAGTCCTTCCTTCCAGAAGAGCTCGTGTGTCACCTAGTGATGCCAAAGGGAACGCTTCTTGGCCCTCAAACCCAGTCTTCCAACCAGAGATGGGTGAAAAAAGTTGTGTGCCCCACCGCAGCTCACCGGCTCCTGCTGAGCTTAAATTTTCTCTTCTATAAAATGCAGCCATTGGACGTGGATCAGTGGTTTTCGAACTTTTTAAAGTAGTCAAACTCTTTGTTTTCCCCTAAAGGAAAACTTTAGGACAGAACTCAATTTGTAACTATCCTTACGTCCCTTCTGGAGGCATAATCAACGTTCGCCTGATCAGCCGGATGGTGGGGAACAGACAGCTGAGCTCTTTGTGTCTTGAACCCCCAAGCAGACCATCAGTTCAATGTTCCGCATCACTCCTTGTAAATATTAAGTGTTTTGTAAATATTGTGCTCTGGCAGAACACTCTGCAACCCTTCCAAGTGGTGTGCTCATGATGCTCTGGGTCCCTGGCCTCGCCTTCCAGCGACTTCACAGCTTTGTAAACTGCAGATAACTGATAGCAACGTAAACCACGCTTGTTTATAGACATACAAGTAAATTCTGGCCTGAGGAGGTTTCATGGGCTTCTCTCTGTATCCCATACAGGAAAAGTCAGTTTCCTTCGATTTGTAAATTTAGGTCAACGTTTCTTTACTCCATGTAAGTTTGTGCTCCTTTCACTTCCCATTTGCACTGGTTGTAAGATCTTAACCACTCTCGCCAATAATGTGCTAAATAACTTTTTTTTAACACGCATTACTCTGTATGAACCATGATTTTAGCGATCTTCGAAATTTATTTTGAAAAGTTATCAATACTCTATTCCAACCCTTGCCAGTCCTAATCCCGCATGCCACCTCCACATTGAAAGAACCAGCTTAGACCTGGCTTGAAAGACGAAGCTCACCACGGTTCTCGTCTCCACTCTGGGCGGTCCTGAGTCCAGAGTGGTAAAGTCAGCCTGAGCCTTTGACAGAAGGGGAAACATCTGGAGGCGCTTGTGTGTGAGTCACTTGAATTCTTCAGGAGGGTTTCTTCCCTACTCACGTCCAGTGGGGTCACGGCACAATATCTATGTGCACATAAAACTTAGGGTTTGGGAGATTGGAAGGAATCCAGGGGATGATGTCACCCACATTCTGCTATGGGTGAGGTCACTGGGACTCACAGAGGCGGGTCAGCTGGCGGCTGGGGTTGAAAGCCAGTCCTGCAGGTCAGTGTCCTGCACCCACGCCTCCTCCACTTGCTTGTTCATTTAACAACCATATAAGCTGCACGCCAGACACTGCCACGTGACGAGTGTTCAGACGTGAGGCCACAGTTTTGAGATATTTGTCCCCTTAGCTCTCTGTCCTTTTAAGTGCATCCACATTCTCTTCCTCTGGGAAGGAGAGTGAGGGCAGAAAGCTGAGTCTGTGAGAACCCCCAGCCCCAACCCTGGAAGTGTAAGCACTTACGAAGAACAGAGAAGACATGAAGATTTAAAAATCCAGGAAAAGGCTTTCCCGGGAGGGGTGTTGGAGGGGAGAGCATGAGAACAAAGCATTGGTCCCAAGAAGGGTGACCTCTGCCCTGCTCTGGGGCAGAACCCCCAAAAAGCCCACATATGATGCCCAAGAGGGAGTGGCGAGAAGCACCAGGGCCCAGTCGGGCTGCGAAGGGGCGGCAGCAAGCTCTTCACCTCCCAGGCCAGGGAACCAGACTAAGGGACCATGACCAGGACCAAGTGCCCTGGCGCCACTAGCAGCTTGTAAAGCCCAAAAACTTAAAGACAAACAGACTGACCGCAAAGTTGGAGCTGCAGTTGAGGGGCAGATGTTCAGGGCCTAGAAAGCACCAGGATTTCTCCCTAAAATACTGTCAGGTGGACTGTGTCTCCTTCCTCCCAGCCCAGACTCATCAGACTCCCAACCACCCTGGGGATGGCCACTGCAAAAGAGAGGGTCACCCCTTCCAACACACTCTGGTTGCAGGAGAAAGAAAACAATGATTCTTGCATCGGGGTAGCGAGGCACACCCCAACCATGAGCAAACTTGAGTAAAATGATGCCCGGATGATGGTGCCGTCCTTGCATTTGAACTAAGCCCATCACACTGCAAGAGGAGCTTCCCCAGTGTTCCGCAGGCCAGGGAACCAGAGCGGGTGAGGGCCAGTCTCCTCTCTTCCTGGACAGCAGCTGTGGCCCTGCACTGACCCCTCGGGTGCTCCCCCCTCCCCTGCTGACTGCTGGCCAGATCCCAGATTCCAGTCTTTTCCACTGCCTAAGAGGATGAACTTTCAAAAGGGGGAAGGAAGGAAGGAAAGACGGGGAGGGAAATACAGAAACAGAGAAGAATAGAAAATTTGGAGAGGAGAGAGGCTGGGGAGAGGAAGGGGGTGGTGGGAAGGAAAAGCAGACAGCAGAGAGTGAGGAACTGCCCTGGACCTGCGCAGCCCCAGGCCTAGGGCCCTTTTGGTCAACTCCTGCCTGAGGCCTGGCCTAGGGGGCTCAGGAGAGCTGTACACTCCTGCGGCCCTCACATTTACATTTGCAAACACCTCCAAATGCAACACGGAGGCACAGATGCATTTTAAGAAGATGCCCAACCTTCAGCGTAAAGCCCCAGCAGCCAGAACCGTGAGTCAGTTCTCCACGAATTCACCCACATCACCTCCAGTTTCAAGGCGGTGTTTTGTTTGTATTTAATGGACCAATCTGTTAAGCCACAATTATGAAATATAAATGGGCCTTTAAAAGCAGAGGGGACCCAAGTCTCCCCCCACCTCCCACAGCTGCAGGTCTCCATGGAGACTGTGTGTCCCTGGGGGGCACCCCACAAATGAGGAAAGCCCCACCCAGCGCTCAGGAAGGAATTCATCTCAGCATCATAAATGTTAGAGAAAAATGGTTCTAAGACAAGTTCCAGCAGTAAGGAAGCTCTGCTTTAAGACATTCGGCCTTGGCTGAACAGTCAAGACTGTTAAAATAGGAGGGGTCGGGCTGGACTCAACACAGAAGGAACAGGTGGGTGCAGGGAGGGGCAGTGGCTGCAGAGGTACTGAGGGGCTCTCCCCAGCTGAGGGCGCGGGGTTCTTCCCAAGCAGGACTAAGCAGGCCCAGCGAGGACTGGTCCAGCAAGGAATGGTGGAGCGAGGGGCTCAGAGGAGCCTGGTTTCAGGTCGAGGAGGGACAGCCACAGCCTCCTCACCTGAGAGGGTCCCGCAAGTTCCGTGACCGCATAGAAACTGGCAGTCTCTCACCTGAGACTAAGAGGAGGGGAGAGATCTGGATACAAGCTCAGGGAGCATTTCCAGGCCTGGCTCTGCACCCCTGTTTGTTGGTGGCCCCACCCCCCACCCCACGCCCCAACTCCTCACCTCTGGGTGCCCCCCCAACCCCCAGGGCCTGCGCTGGCTCTTTCTGTCCCGAGCTTACCTCTCCCGCAGGTGATGGAAACGCCAAAGACTCAGCCTCCCGGTCTCCTCGGGAGACCACGCACACCTGCGAGTGGTCACGTGACCCACTGCTGGCCAGTGAGCGAGAAGAGAAATGTTCGCCATGACTTTTAAGGGGTATTTTCTCCTAGGGATGAGGGGTGACCGTGCTGACATGAGGCGGTCCACCCCCCAGCACGAGATGGCAAACTGGAGGACAGGAAGGTGCCGGCGAGGGTCCTCCGAGCCATCGCTGAGCTGCCGCCCCAACACCTGAGCCCTCTGCACCCAGTTGCTTAATTACGTGAGATAAAGGAGTGACTTTTTGGTTGAAGCCACTCATAGGCAGGGCTTCTACAACTTGTAACTGTGAGGTCCCAGAGAGCAGGCCTCCCCAAGATGTGCCCAAGAGACATATTGATGATATTCCATGAAAGTAATTATCAACCAATGAATGGTCCTGTTAGGGGGAAAAGGCTGTCCTAAAGCTAATTCCACACAGGCTTTGTGGACTCCACCCCCACCCCAGACCAAAGCCAAAGACCCTGGGAACTCCACATCCCATCCCCACCCAAGGGAAGGTGGCTGGGACCTGAGGGTGGGGTTAAGCAGCCAGGTGGGTATAAAGCCAGACATGTGGGCTTTGGAGGGTCCCCCATTTTGACTCTCCACCAGCTCGCAGCGTCCGGCCAGCTCTGAGAGTGCCTTTGGGTTTCCAGGTCGGCGGATCGGGTAGGACACATTAAAGACTTTATTTCCCTATTTTCTCCCTGAGTTGTACATTTCCTTAATTCCCTTTCCCTTGTAAATAAACCTTTTA